ACAAATTATTGGTACTGAATGGTAAAAAAAAGTGTGCATTCATTCTAAATATACAATCATGTGTGAGTGCGAATGCTGCTGAACATTCACATTCTATACTGAATGGCAATCTAGCATTCAATAACAAAACACAGTTTGTTTGTTTTCAAATATTTTAAGCCACTCAGGAATGAAGTTTTTATTTATACAAACCAACAATCAACATTTTGAAAGGAATGCCGAGTGAATGCAGACTATGTTGATTCAATCATTTTACAGCTCTGATATGGTACTTGTTAGGGAATGGACTGCATTTTAATTGATTGAAAAACCTTAAAAATTAATAAATAAACATAAGTGGCAAACAATATCATTTTGAATTTGGTACAAAATGATATGTCCAACCTTGACTTTTTAAACAATTTAATTCTTGTGAAAATGACATACCATTGCACTAAATATTTTTTTAAATAAAGTTTTTTTTTCTTGTTTATGTATTTAAATAATGCTACGATTTTGGTTTTATACTATGTATACTTCATTAAATGTTTTTATTCAAGTATTTATGTAAGTTATCAAGAATATGTAACTACATCAGTAATTATGTTCGCTTAAGTACCTGCATCGAGGTACTTAAGCGGGTTCTTTTAAGTACCCAACCCGCCTAAGTACCTCAAAAAGCTGACATTTTTCGTGAGGTACTTAAGCGGGTTTTACTGTATATCTTTGTTTTTACTTTTATGTTTATCATGTTCCTCATCTACATATTCTCCTTCACCTTTGCCTTTTACAAATATTGCGCCATCTGTTATTCAAAAGCCGAAATACCTACACACCGACTCGTTTTGGTGAACAATTTGTTCGCCGGCGACGGTCGCAAAAACGACTTACCGGAGGGTCGCAACAATGATATACCAGCGAACTGCAAAACGATGCTCAAAATGTATACCAAATTTAAAGTAAAAGTACAGTTTTGTACCAAATTTAAAAAAACTTCATACCCACAAATTTTATTTTTTATGAATAAGACCTTTATAAAAAAAAAAATAAAAATAAAAAATAATATGAAGAATATTATGAATACTGAAAAAAAGATGTAGGCGGCCACAGTATACAGTAAACCAGCCATTGACAATATGCTTATTTGAAAAGTAATACATGAAATATGATGAATGTATAGGTTTTTTTTGTCATTAACCATAGGCAACGACTAGTGCAAAAGGACCCACAAATGTTTGTTGATATATTTGAAATGTAAATTTGAACAGCAAAATTTGTAAAAAGAATTATAATAAAACAAAAATATTTTAATTACTACGTTGGAGGTGGGCGTAGTTATTGGCATAATTCGCCAAAATTTAACATTAACCTAAATTATACCAAAGGCAACTTCGACACCGACTTTCGTTAAAATATCTAAATTTTGTTGGAGTTAGCGTGTTTACAAACAGAGAGGGCTCAACCAGTTCATCTCGTCATTCTGAATAGTTTGGTATATATGTATGCATACGTGTTTATAAGTACATACATTTTATACGGTTAACAAACGCGCTCGCTTATCTGCATAAACCGTCTTTACTTGCATTAATTCATGCATTATCCTCTTTCATATGTGAATAAGCGGCTGAACAAATACATAAAAGTTTCGTGCATTTGAAAACTAGAGTGCAACCTTAATCTAAGTAATACTTGTTTTGCCGCCTAATCGATGGGACTATTTTACAAAGTCAGCCCACCTTTATTCACTCAAAGTTGTGTTCGGAACACGGTTTGACTTACGTTGGAACTGCATCCGGTCATAATCGCTTACGCTTCACGCTTGATTTGCTTGGAATTTGGTTTTTCTCGTTATTTTATTTTATGTGACTTGAAAATATTTTTCACTAAAAGAAAATATTTAAATTGGATTTCATTTGGGTTAACGAAAACGATAACTATGAAAAAATAGCAACCAATACATTCAAACAAATCGTCAAATAAGCATATTTACATTTTTTGTATTGGCTATCTGGATTACTGTATACTGTGTAGGTGGCTTAATTTTCTGAGTACAAGTGTACATTGTGGATTCCATATTCTGTCATAATACAAAATTGTCATAATAAAAACGGTTTACTATCCAAATGAATGACTTTTATTCATACTTAGATATATAATAATGTGGGCGTGGAACTTGTCCAACCCAGACCGAAGGTTCCTCAAAAAACTTGTGGGTTCGAAGAAACGGATTCGTTTCGAGTTCACCCAAACGACTTCATCAGACCAACGTCGTAACGACTTCGGTTCGATGAGAAAAAACGACGTTGGAACGACGTTGAATTTTTTATGGAAAAAACGACGTCGTTTCGAGTTCACCAAAACGACTTCGCCAGAGCGACGTCGCAACGACGTCGTCTTCGCCCTGCGGCAAATTGGGAATGCTCAATATTTGTTGAGCTTATATAAAATTTGTAAACGATAGTATTTCTATTGCTCCAAAGAACCTATATCCCGAAAATGAAAGTTTAACCTGCAAATCGTAAGTTGCTAGAGCACTTTAAGGACTCAAAATTTACCCCAAAATAAGCCAATATTTACCGTGGTTTCTACGACAGAAACATAATTGGTTACCTAAAAAAATGAATCGTTTGGAATTATATCTTTCAAACGCCGCACTTTTCTTTCAAATCGCTTCATTATTTCTCCTGCAATAAGCGTTTTCGTAAAGCTCTAAAAATTACAACTACAACATTTGAGCGTAGCTTCTATATCGAAACGTAAGACGTATTCTACGACATACAGAAGTCGTCTACTCGTCCAAACTTGCAACTGTTCATCTGATGACAGGAGGTACTTCATTTCGTCCTCGTTCACCACCAAACCCATTCGCTTTGCTTCTCCATCTAATACTGAGAAGGCAAAACAGACGTAGCCCTCGCTTTTATCGATAATGTCGATGTCGTCGGCATATGCCAATAATTGTACGCTCTTGTAAAGTATTGTGCCTGAGCGGTTCAGTTCTGCGGCTCTTATTATCTTTTCCAAAGAAATCACACGAAAGGGAATTACCTTGTCTGAAACCTCGTTTGGTATCAAACGGCTCGGAGAGGACCTTCCCATTTCTGAAGGAGCAGGTGGTATTGCCCAACGTTATTTTATACAGCCGTAATAGTTAAAAACAACTTGTTTTCATGCTGTCGAAAGCGACTTTGATTTTCCATGTATAGAGTCACACTGATAAGGTGCAATCAGTTATTTTATGGTGGGCTTGAGTCTTTAACACAATACGCTCGATAAGACCTTGTAACCTATGCTTAGAAGGCTTATCTCGCGATAGTTGGCGCGTATGGCAGGGTCGCTTTTCTTGTGGAATAGGCAGATTTAAATTCCAGTCATCCGGCATGCGGTCATCTAACCATATTCTGCATAAGAGTTAATGCATGCACCCCATCAGATCTTCGCCGCCGTACTTCAATAGCGCAGCTGGCAGGCCGTCAGCTTCAGCGGCTGTGTTGTATTTCAGCCGCGTAATCGCTGTTCATACCTCGTCATAGTCAGGTGGTGGAACATCGACTCCATCGTCATCGAATGGCGACCCGGTTTCGTCTTATCCACTACCTTCCCTGGTTTTGAAATCTTTCGTAAGTCGCCTAACTATCTAGTAAAAGTTTTCGGGGATTTTTCTGTGGGCCAGCATTTCAAGCTCTCGCTTCCCTATTCAGATCCCTGTAACGGTCATATATATCTCGTGTTGCGCCCGACCGCAGTGTGGCCCTGTGGGCGGCATCATTTTTCTCTATGGCTTCTTGACACTCCTCATCGTACAAGTTCTTCTTTACAACTACTACTAATTTTTGGACGTTGAGCTTTTCTTGCATTGTTGGGCGCGCATTTTTTGCTACACAGAGGCGGGTGCGTATCTTGTCTGAATCAAGAAATTGGTCCGAGAAAGCGTACCTTCCGTCTACCACAGCATGATCGATTTTCTCGTTTTTCTAACTGAAGACAGCTCCGTAGCTTGATGGATCTTTTTATGCATGAATCTAGTACTTCATAATACGATATTTCGCCCCGGCGACGTCGATCAGCATCAGTTCATTATCGGAGGTCTCGTCGACGAGACTGAATTTTTCGAGAGTAGCGCCAAAGATCCCTTCCTTGCCCACATTGGCAGTGAAAACTCCAAGCACTATTTTTATATCATGACAGGGGCATCGCTCGTATGTATGCTCTAAGAGCCCATAGAACAGATCCTTGGATGCCTCATTCTTATCTTTATTCGGGGAATGGACGCAGTTGAACCGACGAAATCTCTCTCCCACCACAAAACTAACACCGAATTCGTGCTTCTTTACATGGCAGCTGTAGTTTGCAAGGCCCAGACATCTTTTGCCTTGCCCCGTCCACGCATTTCTTGGATGGCGGTGATGTCAGCTTTTGTCCTTACAAGAACATCAACCAGCCGGGCAGAGGACATTCCAGATGCATACTTTCAAATCGTAGTCCTTTAAACTTTTTCCGTGGTCGTCATCAAAAGGGAGTCTCATCCGAGGTATTGTCTCTTTTCTTCACTGGAAGTAGTTTTTACGTGGCGGGTCCCAAGCCCATCGCACAACCCATTGCTGGGAGGAGGATGGTTTGTTAACCGAATAGACTGTTATATAGCGTGCCGCTTGCAGTCGCACCTACTGGTTAACAGACGCTGCATTCTTCAGTGAGCTTTTAAAATTAATATGTCGGAGTGGCCCCACCAAGCGCCCTCTCTTTCTTCCGTGACCCAAGGCTTCGGATTGGATACCGTACCTCGCACATGAGTTGCTCACGTTGCCCAGAGTTCGTGCATACACCGAAGAACGACTATATCCCAATGCACTCTGTAAAAATTAAATATAAAATTACGGTCCGTGCGCATCTCTAGTTTGATGCGCTGAATGTAGTTTTTATTTTTGTTGGTTTATTATTATACTTTTACACTCTCGCGATTTTTTTTTCATTTTGTATGGTACACATAATTCTCTTCTTGAACTTACTTTATTTTTCAGATTTCCTTACTACAGAGAAAACAAACAAGGATGGCAGAATTCGATTCGCCACAACTTGTCTCTAAATGATTGCTTCGTAAAGGTGCCACGTGATAAGAACACAATTGACGATAATGACAGCTCGGGAAAGGGGAGCTACTGGATGCTAGACGCTTCAGCTAATGATATGTTTGAGCAAGGCAACTACCGACGCCGACGTACGCGGCGCCAAAGGCATTGTATGAGAAGTTCTAGCAGCTCAGAAGACAACTATCACGTGAGTAAACTAAATTTGGGAATAATAAACATAAATAGTCTACTAAAAGATTTTTTTGCTGTAACAGCTTGAACAATCTCAAACATGCGAAAGCACGATTGACGAATCTTCTGCCATATCTCGAGGCAATCTCAACATTTTTTGCGGCAAAAACCCAGGTACGATGTCTCTAAACTACTCCGACCACATCACAGAGCTACACAGACAGTATCTGGCTTCGATTGCGCCTTTTAATATACTCTTTCGGAATGAATCACCATCAGCAAACACCAGCTCAGCATTACCAACGCAACAGCTTAGCAGCCAAAGTGAATTACCTCTGCGAAATGTATCCAATTTTATGCTTGGTACAAGTCAAGAAACCAGCAGGAATTCATTCCGGGACTTGGACAGTTTTGATATCTCAGGCGGTGCTTACTCTAATAGCAACAGTTCCGTTGACAGCACTAGGCAAGCAAATTCATTTTCGCCAAGCGCCTTTACACCAATCACTCCAGCTCGAAATTTGCAGCAAACAACACAGCTAACTCCGCCGCCTTTGCCGTTACAACCAAAAGCACTCACTTCCGCTTTCACCATCGAGAATATCATAAAGAAAGACTGAAGAAATACGGAATATATGTATGTACGTAGGAACTGTAAACTAAGTTGACATATGCCAAAAGATTATTATATACTTACTTGTAATTATGTGATATCAATGCAATAAAATAGAATAAAGCAATTTAAAAGTAAAAATTACAAGTCTGATTATTAGTTAATGGAAACTAGCGTTCGCTCAGCGGTTGAAATCACTGCGATTAAGTTTGATGTGAGTTGAATTGAAGTGAGTTCAGATGAGGTGAGTTGTGGGAGGTTAAGGTGAGACGAGTTGAATTGAGGCGAGTTCAGGTAAGGTGAGTTGAAGTGAGGTAAGCAACATGGCAAGACTTAACATATCTTCAATTTTCTCTTTTTCGTTCTCTATCTATTTCCTCATCGTGATTTTTTTTCTTAAGGTGGGCTGCAATGACATAAGTTGAGTTGAGGTGAACTTACGTGAGCAGCATAACATGACGTAACATATCTTAATGTTCTGTTTTATTTTTATCTTCATCTTTGTCTTTTTATATTTTTCTCCATCCCTTTCTATATCTCTATCTTTGTATCAATCCTTTTATTAATCATTGTCTTGATCCTTTTCTTTATCTTTATCATTATCTTTATCAATATCTTTACAATTACCTTTAACTTTATCTTTACCGTTACCTTTATCATCTTATCCTATTTTTATCTCTTTTTTTTGGAGCACCCTAATGCAATTTAATAAATGAATATTTTTTATGAAGCGAGGAAATGTTAGTTTTACCGTAATTTATTAGGAAATAAACCTCAATACTTAAATATCATACAAATTAAAGGAATAAAAAAACTATTTTTTTTTCTTTTTAAAAGAATAAAATCTAAAGTTCAGTTGGATTCAGTGATAGCAACTTTTCCGGATTCGTAGCAGGCATTCGAATTCTTCGAAGTCTTGTCGAAGCAGACATCGACCCCAGAGACGCCGCCCTAGAATATCAGGGCACAGCTGTCTGGTCAGCCGATGTCGAGCTGGAAATATTTAACGTTGTACCCCCTGCCACCTGCTACCCGGCAGAATATCACCCTGCGCTACTCAGAGGTGAAAACTGTATGACGGTAGGTGACTTTAGCGCGACCTTGAGCACTCAAGCCTGGCAAATGATGCAGTATTGTGGGTAGCTGCAGCAGTTTACCAGACCTAAAAATTTCTAGCGCAGGCCTGATAAACAGCATAAGGTGACGATCAATAAGCCCACCGACTTTGCTGCCGCAGACCACCGAACCTATTTCAGCTTTAACAACGCTGACTGGAACTGCTTCGTGGAAGTTACTGAAAGCAGCTTCGCCCCTTTCCAAACCCATAAACATATATGCTGGCGAAGGCCATTTCCGCAAGGTAAATAATCACCGCCACAGCGGCTCCCTTCCTTTCATTCGGACGCATCTCGGAAGTCCGCCCAAACCCGGCTGAAGCGCAAATTAGCGTGACCACCTACGCCAGGTCGACTCCTAGGATCCTCACTTAAGTGACCTTAAATTGGAGATTCGACAACTGGTAACCCAACATAAGTGGAAAAGCCGAGAGGAGCATGGGGAAAGCCTGCAAAATCATTGGTCACTACAGAGTTTGCATGCTGATGCTTGAACATTTGTGTCTGCGGAATTAGCATATCTCACCAAGGTTCTCAAATTTTCAGTGGCCACCCTAATCATACCCGATGTGTGAAAATGGGGGAGAGTGGTCCCACTGCTGAAACCAGGGAAGCCAGCCAACAAAGGAGAGTCTTATTGGCCGATAACGCTCCTTTCGCCGGTCACGAAGACATTTGATGCATTGAAGCATCAGCTTGGCTTCCGCGAAGTGCTCAGCACAACAACACCACTTAACGTCGTGGTCTTAACCGTAACCGCCCCTGTGAGAGAACAGTCCTAGTAGCGCTGGACCTGTCAAAGGCGTTTAACACCGTCCGTCATTCCTCGCTACTAGGAGGCATTGAGGCTTCCTCTCTCCCACACGAGCTCAAACGGTGGTCGGCAAATTATATGAGTGGTCGGCAGAGAGATCAAACTTCAGAACCTAGAAAAATTAAGCAAGGGGTTCCACATGGTGGTGTCCTCTTCCCCTACTATTTAACTTCTCGAAGCTTCCTCTACCACCGGAGGCAATGCTCTCATACTCTGTCAGCGTGGGAATGGAATTGTTTACCTCTGCTCGAAAATTAACAGCTACCCCTCCAAACTTTCTCGCTTCTTAATTGCACTGAGCCAAACCCTCTCCCCTACGAAATCAACGCGGCCCTCTTCATGACCTGGACGAAGGAGGTCAGGCTTCAGATAGGAATTCACGTCGATGGCACAACAAAACCGACGACGAACAAGATCACCTCTGTTAATAAAGTACAGAGCCGCTACAACCTCCTCCGGTGCACCTTTGGACACAGTGGACGAAGCTGCAAACTTGTTAAAATACCGCACTCCGGACATCGACGTGATCCTTTCGGATGTCGCCTGAGCAGCCTTCACAGCGAGGACCAAATGCCTCCTGTAAGGGAGCATAACAAAATGCTGAGCAAGCTATTTCTGGTGGGATGCCACAGGAGTGAGTGCCAGGCACCTCAGAAGGTAACTTTTCGATTTCATGGACGCGGTCCAGACCTACATCGACCAACCACTGGACCCGGCGACGTACCGACGAGTGAAAAAATACATTAATAGAGAGACGGCCGCCATCTACCACGACTCTCGACCTATGAATGTCGAGATCGGAGCCCAATCATCACCTATTGCAGACTCGGGTCTTCGACTGCCACCCAGGCTACTCCGGCCCAATTACGGTCAAGATATTGGAGCCATCTCAATAGCTATTTGGCCACCTCTTGTCTCACGAGGACATCAACCAGCCGGGCAGAGGCGCCTTTCCCATTAAGGGTACGGATATTCCAGATGAATGTTTTTACGTGGCAGGTAGCAAACCCAGCGCACGACCAGTGTTGCCGCGAATCATTTTTAGTGGTAGCTAAATTCCTTTAAAAAAAGGGCTAAAAAAGTCGTTGTGGCTAAAAATGGTAGCTAAATTTTTTACTTAGATATACATATATATGTAAGTATACACGCAACAATTTTCAATAAGTAATGATATAGAAAAACAATGAACTCTGGAAAAAAAGCTAATATTTTATCCAACCAAAAAATTTTTGTATAAAAGGGGAAATATACGACACCAGCTTGCTGGCTCCATCATGTGCCTGCTGGTACAATATTTATTTCTTTACAAATGAGGTTGAGGAAAGATCGAAATGATTAGAGCCGAAATTTCATAATTTTTCTACCATTTTGTTAAACATCGTTTCTTTTAATTCGCAGCTGCAATATCATGAACTTAATCTTCTACAAGCATGGCTTTGACTCATACAGTGCAAGAAATTTGCGCCAAAATACTTTTTACTTAGAAAACTGAGCCACTCACGACACCAGCATGCTGGTACAATCTCATAAAATTTTCAAATATTTTTTGAAGTCGCACCAGCAGCTGTACAATCACACAACAAGAACATACACGGCCAATCGACTTGATGTGCCAGTTAACAAATTAAGCGTATTAAGGGCCGTAAACGTATCTATTTTAAACTATAGTTAAATCGTTAACAGATAAATTAACAGCCCTAACACTTTTACAGTATGTATACGTAAGGAACATACAATCATATATGTATATATATCAGTCTTTCTTAGTATAAAAATTCATATCTTACATAAATGAAAAAAATGAGATAAAATTAAGCATATACAACTTTTTCATGCCAAGTATAAATAAATTCTCCAAAGGGCTAAAAAAGGGCTAGAGGCAATTTTAAATTTATGTGGCCAAAAAAACTATGTGGTAGCTAAATCTAGCCACCGAAGGGCTAAAACGGCAACACTGTTTGTGACGGGTGGGACGAGTCACCTTTGATGATACATAGTTCGTGAGTAAAATGAACACTGCTGATTTGATGTGATTATTTATGAAATTTTTAATAGGAAGACCCAAGGCACATTAAACAGGTAGTATCAGTAGAGCAAAAACAACATTTGCGTGTATTTTGTTGTTGCTTCTGGTATCGAAAGTGTCAACAACTGTTCTGAATTTTTTCTTCTAAATCAAAGGGTGCCATGTGAAATACAAAAATAATAATAAATTTAAATAGGAAAAAATAAAAATTGTTGCAACTTTCTTTCCTAGTAAATTTGTTTGCTTCTCGAAGCATTGATCCATCCTTTTCAAGGGCCAGTAATCAGCGGTTGTGCTGCTGAGTTGGGCGAACGTTCCAAAAGCTGCTATTCAATCGCTTGTTTTGTATGGAAAAAGGTTTCACATGCAAATGGATTTTAACAATTCAGAATTTTTGTGAGAAAAAATTAAAAATTTTCGAGACCAAATAATTTGAAAATAAAACAAATCAGCTGCTCTACTGATACTACCTGTTCAATGTACCTTGGGAAGACCTCATTTAAAGAATGGGAGACTTAAGAATTTGTACATATATTTTACATATTTTGCTGTGTGTGTGTTCTTTCTTTTTGGATATTTATTTTGTGCATTGCCACCTCTAGTAGATGAGGAATGCAAAAAGAAAAGAGATCAAATTAAGCATATACAACAATTCTCCAAGGGGCTAAAAAAAACGTTAGGGGCAATTTTAAATTTATGTGGCCAAAAAAACTATGTGGTAGCTAAATCTAGCCACCAAACGCCTAAAACGGATTTTATGTTTTTTCAAGCAACTCAAAGGCGCCCGCTTGCAGCCGCACATACCAGTGAGCAGACGCTGCAAGACTTCAGTAACCAAAAAGTCAGAGTGACCCTACCCAAGCTTTCTCCCTTTCTGGCGTGACCTAAGACTCCACTCGGTATGGGTACCGCATCTTACACATGGGTTTCTACACAAGAGTCGGTATTTTGTATAGCCTTGCAACTGTAAATGCATACCTAAAGGAACGTCTAGACCCCAAATTTTACATGAGAGAATAAAAACCTTTTAAACTTTGTCATTGCACACGAGTTTCTGACTACTGTTTTACTAGTTTAAAGTGAATCGCAAAAATTCTTCATATGCACATACATACATATTTATTTCAAAATTAAATAAACATGTTCTTTTTGTATTTCGCATCAAATATCTATCAAGAATAGATGATATAATAGACGGCATACACTGTGCGTCTGACTCGTGAGGCAACATAGGCCATAATGCAGAGAAACTCTTACTTGTTTGAAGCATTTTTGTTCCAGCTGAATCGGACGATATCATTTTTGTAGGCCTGGGGCAGATTCTGTAACCAGTTAGCGACAAGTTTCGGATCGATATCGCACTTGTTGACGTAAAAATATTTCATATCATACGTCAACAAAACCGATGCCGATTCGAAAATTGTCGCTAACTGGTTACAGAATCTGCCCCAGGCCTACAAAAATGATATCGTCCGATTCAGCTGGAACAAAAATGCTTCAAACAAGTAAGAGTTTCTCTGCATTATGGCCTCGAACCGACATATATACATCTTTCATTTGAATCCGTATTAAAAGCTCTATTGGCTCCTACATTCGGGTTTTTATAGGCGAGTCTCCCCTGACCCGTTTTTTCCATATTTTTGGCCTATTTGCGCTTTTATTCGAAACCTAAATGTTTCGGTACCGAGTATCGAGAGTATTGGATACTTTTTAAATCGGTACCGAATACCGATCAATACTTAAAAGTATTGACTCAGCACATCACTAGAAACGGGCAACATGTAAACACAAAACAGCTGATATGCACTTTGACGCTTTATCCGTTTTTACCCGGAGAAAAAGTCCGGGCTGTTTCGGGCAGGAAGAAGAAGACACTAACGATCCAATACGCTCCAATTTTCGCTCTCTATTACCCATTTTGTTGAGTACGGGAATGATATCTAGGCAATTTCGGGCACCCGCGGGATCCCGCGTTGCGTACGGGAAAGAACCTATTTGACAATAGACATTAGTAGTGGGTAACTCAGCACTGTGCTGAGTTACTGTGCTGACTCCTAGAACTGTGCCGCACGCTCAGACTCACCTCTGAAAAAATTTGTAACTCAGTAACTCAGTTTATATGCTGACAATGCATGAACGAAAGACACAAGATCACGCGGGAGGGAAAGAACGAAAAAAGTTATTTTCTAGCTGCCGAAATCTCGACGCCATCTTTGTTGTAAGAAGTAAACAACGAAGAGAACGGAGAAAACCGCGAAATTTGTGAACGCATGAATAATCATTTTTATTATGCAAATTCTTCTATAAATCATGCCGTTGTGTTAAATTATTCTTTACCTTATGTGCACACACGTTGTCACAGGCGAAAAAGAAGAAAATTGCAGTAAAAAGCCACGACCAAATTGTAAACAATGAAGAAATGTAAACAAACGGCTATTGTCAAAATCGTTAAACTTTTTTTATAAATGCGATTCTAACGGGCTACTCTTCTGCCCGCGTGATCTTGTATTTTTGGTTTATGCTGACAATGTATAGCTCAGTATGCTAAAGAGCCGATATGGTAAATCAGTTGATGTGCTGACACTGCATAGCTCGGTGCGGCTTGCATTGTTTAGAACTGTGTCGATGTGGTAACTCAATTGATGAACTCACACATTCATACAATAACATCTTCCAAAAAGTACCATAATAGATGGCATCTCTAAACTAACCATCAATTGAATATACGACTACTAAATTTAAAAAGAAGCAAGGCGAATAGCCCAGTTATGCATACTTGCACTGCTATACCATTTTTACGTAAAAATCAAAACCAAATAAGGCTCTTTTATGCATACTTGGCATTGCATGCACTGCTATACCATTTTTACGTAGAAATCAAAAACCAACAGACTTTTACGTATGTAATGCTGTGCGTTGGGTAACAGCTTACACGCGAAGCTCATTTAACAGATTCCTTATGTGACAACTCTCAAGCAATGCCAAGTATGCATAACAGAGCCTATAGAATTCTACATGTGAAGTGCTATGCGTTGGGTAACCGCTTACATGCATAGCCCATTTTACAGATTCTTATGTGACAACTCTCAAGTAAAACTAAGTAGGGAATTATTTTGCAAATGAACTCACCAGTGGAAATCAGCTTTCTAAAATTTTGCCGGCCAGCTACGAACAGAAGCTAAGGATAACCTTTTCTAAATCGATTTCGATTACTAACATCATCAATAATTTCGATGTACATACCAATTGTGTGATAGCACACTTGTGCCAGCTCACTGTGCTGACTCATTAAATTGAGTTGGAGTTACTGAGTCAGCACACCAAAATTTACAGAGTTACCCACACTTAATAGACATATGATGAATTTTGTCAGTGGTTTGGGAATAGGGCGGTTAGTTTATTGTAAAGGGTTGCCAGATGTTAGCAAATCAATTTCCAATAATCAAGCTCCGAGATATTTGCATTTAATTTCGTGAAATCGGCAGTACATGTACCGATTCTATTAAGAGAAAACGTGGGACGTAAATCATTGTCGTTTTGAAATAAACGCCACAAGAGAGACGAAAAAAATAGAAGTCGCATATAATTATTATGACAAGACGTAAATCCTTTCCGTCTTGAAATAAACGTCCCGCGAACTCATGAAATTTGATGTGCAAACATATGCGTACGGCAAAGCATAAAAGCACGTTTACATATAAATATAAACTCAATCAAAATCGTTAGCTGTCAAATTATTTTTGCTTGTTATTCTCACAACTCGAAGAAATGTTAAGTTTCTTCTCTGTGGCACTGTGCTCACTTTTTTCTGCTACACATATTAAGCAATTTAAATGTATTTTAACTTAATATTTTATTAAAAATACCTGTACAAACCTCTTTTCTTTGCTAGAATCAATTTTTGTTTACTTTTACATTTGACGTGCCTCCTCCTCTTTGCAAGTATAATCGATATAACTAGGTTGGACACCAAAAAGTTATCGGTTCAATCTGAGATTATTTTATAAATTTAATTTTGTATAGCTAATCTTTTTTCTAATTAATTAATAAGGTTAGAAATTAAACATTAATTTCACTTAATTTTATTCATTTTGCTGATTAAAGTTTTTTTATTCATTTTTAATTCTTTTAATACATGAAATAGTCGGTATACTTGTAAAATATCTGGAAAACACCGCATCAATTACTGTTTTTGAGCTTGTAGTTTGAGCATTTCTATTTGTATATAGAGCTCGTTCGAGTTGCAATCACAACCGCAGTGTTGCACGAATTATTAAAAGTATCACGCTCTGTGTGAATTTCTAGCAATGTATTATCAGTTGGGCAGTTGCAACAATGTTGCCATTTTTCATCGGTACGGCAGTAATGCCGCTTTTATTACGTGCCTCGAACAGGCCCATATTCCTAAATTTAAGCTGTAATTAGTCAAGAACGTAAACCTACCGGTACGTAAACCCGAGTCAGCTGACACTATCTGTCTAAAGCCCTGTATGCAGCTCTCAAGAAAACGGTCAAGGAAAAATTGCCATTATTTGGCGTGTGTCCAAGGAATTTTGACTATTTGATACCTCACAGCCTGTTGCCTCACTCTTTCCTCAAGAAATAATGGAACGGTCATATATTTCTGTTGCAAACCTGGGTTGCCTTGTGCTCTTTTTTCACAAAAAACTTTAGAAAACCGTAGTAAATTTCTTAAGAACTGCGTACTGCCTTAAGGAAATTTGACTCAAGAAAATTTCTTAGCCATTTCTTGTACGTCATTTTATATGGAGTTTTTGCTTTTCTTGAGAGCTGCATACAGGCCTTCACCAGAACGCCATGTAAATGAAAACTCAACACCGCCGAATTTTTCTGTAGGTGTAGACCGTAGCGTAGAAATCTTCGGAATTTAGATTTTTCCGTGTCAGCTGATTTCTTCCTTCTATAGATGGTTGTCACTTCGTCAGTTTTGCAGATGGTAAAAAAGTTATAATTTCCTATTCAAAATACGTTAAAAATATTTGAAATTTACAATTGAATAAGGTTTTTTGTTGAAAACTAAGTAGTTTATATTTAGCTACGATCTATTATAGCACGAAAAACTGTAGTTGAAAAAAAGTTTATGAAAAGGCATTGATGAGTGGCAACACTAAACAAATCGATGGATTTCGAAAATTAATAGGAAATTTGATTGCCTTTAATTTGGTATACGTACTTCATATATATGTTGTATAGTTCTTACAAAACTGAATTAATGTAAAATAATTATAAAAAAAAGTTTACAACAAACATTGAATTTATAACACCAAAAAAACTGCAGTATTTTGTAACCATACTTGTGAAAAAATGATACATTTAATTATATCTTCCACGTTTTATTTGCCATTTTTAACTAAAATTCAAGGTTCAGGTGCGAATGTTTTAAATTTTTTCAGCTTTCTTTGCACTTTTAACGGGAGCTGTTTTCTGCGATGCGAGCACAGCAGATGCACGACGGAGGGCAGCCTGAAACAAGACAATTTTTAAATATATCGCTTATAGGAATATTCGATAAGCTTATGAGGTTATAACAATCAGTATTGTTTATCAACACAATTAATTCTGCGATCTTGGTGAGTAGCAAAAACTATGGTCTCATCACATAAAATATTCAATACAATTATTAATACTGAGTCAAACGTACCTGAGTTAGATCTTTGCGGTACTTAGCACCGGTCAAAAGATTCTTCAGCTTTTTCAGTGCCCTTCTGGGCCCGGCCTTAAACGAAACACGAACGGTACTCTTAGCGGGACGCTGAGCGTTCTTGCCCTTCTTTAGAACAACCGAAAATCCCTTCTTGTCGGCAGCGGGTACAACACCAACGGTTTTCTTGTGAACCAATCCACTGTAGCGGAATGAGCTTACATTGGTTAAATTGCTTGCCTCCTAAAGAGTAGAAGATTTTTTAGATAAACTTTTACGTAGATTTCTATTAAATCAACACATTTTCCGAAAAAGTTAATTTAAATAACATCATAGTATTAATTCGTAAGTAAATGAAGGATCTTACCGTACTGAAAGGTTTCTTCACATCGCGCTTCTTCAACAGGAAAGAGTTGTTGTTGCGGACGATCAACCAGTTAAGATGCGGTGATGTGGTGGCCATCTCGAGTCTAAAAATGCATGCAAATATATCAATACATATTAGATATGTACTTAGTTTGAAATATAAAGCAATTTTAATTATTTGTCAGTCTTGGGTGATGAATAATAGTCTTCAAGAACTCTTCTGTTTATTCGATCATCATTGAATCTAAATTTGGTCTTCAATTGACACGGGAACGAACGTGCCAAACACGTGTGAAAATATATTAATAATCTAGTTACCAGCAGTATTTCAGGCTTCAGCTGATATTACACTTCACTCGGGAATATACTTCCCATACATTTTTTTTACTTTTACTACATCTTCCACGTGCCAACTGAAGTAGTCGCCGATATTTTACAAATGCTCACCTTTTTCTCTAGGAAACGATGACGAAAAGAACCAGGAAGCGCCATATCTGAAGTGAAGTTAGCTGCTATTTGCTAAATGTCAAACAATGACATTCGGAAATGTAAGGAAAGCGCTTTTAGAAAAACACAGGGTGGTCACTTAATAAAAATAAGAAAATTACCATGACCGCAGAACCCCACAGGCAAACACCGATGGCCTACCAACTGCCATTTTGACGAGCTATATGATTGCAAGTTTTTGTGCGAGGGCACTTTGATGTTTTGAAATGAGCATTTGCCGCATGACACCATCAGACAACATTCTCTCGATTTCGGTGTTTACAAATATTTAAATCTTTAAAAAACTTGCTGAATAATTTCCTAAAACGTAATCATAAATAATCAAATAGGGAACAGATCTTTACTTTGATTTAGGCTGTATTTCTTTATTCATTCTGAACGTTTGGAATAAACTTTTTTGTTTATTAATTCTTTAGAACGTTCCTGATGATATGTTGACGTATATTTCAAACGCATTCTGTTTATTCCGGCTGTGAAATTGGATTATCCGGAATGTATAAAGAAACGCAGCCTTAATATCAAAATTTCATCGATGTTACCACCAGCACACTTTCTTTCAAATGAAAATATGGCTGTCAAACTATCGAATTGCCTGCAATAGATGTCAAGCAATAAGCGCTGACATATATTGCAGCCCATGAGAAATAGGCGGTCTCCATTGTAAATATATTTTGTGACATTGTTATCACGACATCAGTGTTTTCCTGTGGAGACAGGGCCTGATGCAATAATAGGAGCGTTCCTTATCTCCCAGAAATAGTCAGAAAAAGTCCGAAGTAGTCAGATTTAGTCCAAAAAGCGTTCCTTAACTCGGAAATGACAGCTAAAATGAGAGAGCAACACCCAGTGAGAGTGACTCTCATCAGTCCGAAGTAGTCAGATTTAGTCAGAAGAATTTTTTCTGGCAAAATCCTGAAAAGTGTCAAACTCAACTAGATTTAAATTAACGGAAATTAAAGAATACGCAAAAAGTGAGAATAATCTAAAAAGTGAATTGAAATTGGAAGGAGGCAAAAAATAATTGATACAGTAAGTGTTTATTCTGCTTGTGCTTGTGTGAATGTGTTTTGTACATACATTTCCATTCTTATTTGAAGTTAGTTTTGTTGTTGCCATTCTTTGGACTAAAAATTTGGTTTTTTGCGTTCCTTTACTTTTCCTGTTATTCTCTTTTAGTGAGCGCATTTTGCTTACGCTCTGGCATTTTGACACTTTTCAGATTTTAGTCCAAAAAGATAAGGAATGAACAAGAATGATAGAATACAAGATTGCGCCGTCCTGGGCGTTGACATTTGTGTACCACAAGTAAACAAAGAATAGAGCGAAAAGAAGAACGAGTTGAAACTGCCAAAACAGTTCGCTTTACAGCGAAAAACGTGTCTTAATTTTGCTAAATGCGAAAATATTGCATTTTTCACCTAATCTATTAGAGAACAGTGAACATTTTAGTGCACTCCATTGCTTCGCAATTGAGGCTGCTTCAGCAAACGTTTTAGTGTACTACATTGCTTTGCAATTAAGGCTGTTGCAGAAAACTGCAGCAGCATCTCTGCGGGATTGATTAGTTAACTTGCTAATGGAGGCTGCGTGGAGCAGAAACAAAATCATTGTGAGGAAATGCTGTTAATATAATAATAGGGAAACATTTCGAGAACGGCTTTGCCGTGCCCTATGTACACAAAATGCACCGATTCGTCCCAGCGCTACACTTGCATCTAGGCTTCTTGCATCTTGACGCCTGTCGCAATTTAACACACAGCACTTAATTGTATTAGTTTTTACGCAGTCTTCAACTCAAAAATCACTCAAAATTGCAAATTAACACAATTTAGGGCTCTGTCACACGATCAGTGGATTGGTGGAGTGATAGATCGCGCACGAATGCTACATGTTCAATATTTATCGCGTCAGTATTTGCATAATTTTTGTGCTGAACGCTATCTACCACATATTCGCGTTTTTGAGTACCTAGTTTTATTTTTGCTCGACATAATTTTCTTAATTTTAAGAGCAAAAATTGTCCAACACTAAACACTATATGGTAACAAGAGTGATATAATACAAGATTCCTCATTCCCGCCGGCGATGAAATTTCTCAAGTAAAAGAAAACAAAGCCGAATGGGAGGATAAAATAAACTGTAAAATAGTAAATTTTCTCAATAATACATTTTTCGACAGAAAACGTGGTTTTATTGTGTTAAATTGCAAAATATATGATTTATAAAAAGAATTAATAGCGAAAATGTTAAAAAACGGCATTTTTTGTGAAAGTATTAGCAAATTTAAATGCATCTAAAGTTTCTGAGGCCTTGTTTACTTTTACTTGCGAATTGTTAAAATCGGCAAATCCCAATTAGCTGTTTCTGGAACGTGCCACATTTGTTCGCTACTTCGTTATGTGATAAAAAGAAAAGCTGGCAGCTCTCCACAAGATTGCAGAAATTTCTTAAAATACGTTCGAAAAATATCTTGATATGGAAGGAACTGCTTTACACTGTCAAGGAAAAAAAATTGGCAAAATTCAATGCAATTTTTAGCAACTTCAATCTTGCACTTTATTATACTAAAATTATTTTTTTTAGAGTCTAATTAAAAAGTTTGCAATTTAGGTGAAACCTTAGAGAATTTCTTTAATTTTTGTTCAAATTTTGATCCAAAACCTGAGATCTACCAAATTTTTTTGAAATCTACCACATTTTTTTCTCAGATTCTACCACACGGAATTTTTTTTTAAGTCCGATCACTGTTGCACTTGTTGCACTTGCTTCTGCCTTCGGCCGCGCTTAGAGATTATAACCCTTACTAAGTAGAATTCTCGAGGGAGAGCGGGAGACCAGGTTTAGATGGTGTGATCGAGTTAAAGTAGTAGAGGAGGTAGGGATTACCTTTGCGAGTGGTTATGTATCGAGCTCCATGAGCCCGTATGGTGTATAGGTGCACATCAAGCCAACCACGCACTCCATATATCTGCTATGCGAGAGACAGCGAGAGAGAGTGAGATATGCGGGCAGGCTGATGAAGCGGAAGCGGAAGATGTGACCCTTTTACCATGTATCAATTGGGGGACTCTATTGGAGGAGTCATGCTCTAGCTGCCGTAGGCTGCTGTGCAATGAGCTGGGATTTATTCAGGGATGCATTCATGCAGAGCCCCAGTGTGGCTTGTAAGCCGTAGCTTACTACCATACCAAAAATTACTCCGGGAGTGGAGTGGGAGCGATGCTTAAAGCACCGTGTAATAGCCAACTGAAAATGCCAGCGACTTATCACTTCACTAAGTTCAGCGAAGATATATTTGAGAATTGCATAAAAAATGCATACCCAATTAAGAACGGGCGAATTACTTTTAAGCACAAGTACGTGTGTTTGTTCGCTGCACTTGGTTTTGGGCGGGAGCTCAATACAAGTGTGTGTGTGTGTTCGCTGCACTTGGTTTATGCGGGAAATGCATAAGTTGCTTAAACATGTCAAAGGTATACAACACTTCTTGTGCACATCAATCCGGCTACGCCATCCACAGTATTTTTGCGCAGAACCCACGTCGAAATTTGCAAAAAAGTACATGGTGCAAACCGAATTTATTAATAAGATAGTGCTCGGAAATTTGAAACATTTATTTTAAATACAATTTTAATCCTTTGGTTACACGTGATGTTAAAGTTTTTGGATTCGGATTATGCGTTTGGACACAGCAACCGAAAATCATTGTACAAATAACTAAACCGGACCCAAGTTTCTCGATTAGGGGCAACAAAGATTCTGTTTTACTCGTTTTTATAAAGTAGTGGATAAAAATATACGTATATGCGAAGGGCAAATTTATCTGTTTAAATGAACACCACTAATATTTCCTGCAAACACACATCGATTTACATTTTTTATCTCGCCTCCGACACAGAATTGTTTTCGTACAAAATTACGCTAAAAAGCTTACTCGTTCGTTTTTAGGCATGCCATTGTTACGAATTTCGAAAGTTCGAAAATATTATTCGCATTGCAGCACACTATTTCTACGATTCGAAGCAAAATCCGAATACGAAAGAGTTGCAGAATAGGGGTGTATAATTCCTTTAATATCGCACAAAATCGCAGTATAAGATTATGGGGAAATAAGAGATCGGGGACTATTCTACTGATTTATGATGAGTTTTTTAAAACATTTTTTAAAACACTAAATAAACTTTTTTTTTAATTGTACAATTTCACTTTAAAGTCTCTTAAATGCGGACGTTTCTTTGGCACAACCTTTAAACTATATACAAGTAATTGGTAAATATTCTGCTAACCGTCACTCTTTCTTTCCACTTTTCACTTTTGAAAAGCAGCAAATATATTACCAAAGAACGTAGATAACAAGCATGATTCATTAGGTCGTATTAATAAAATTAAGCATTTACTCCGAGTAAAATATCTGAGCAAAGTAAAAGCTTTTAGCATTTGCTCAAAATTGGTATCAATAAGAATTAATTTTACTTGAGAAAGCTCGAAAATTCGAAATGAGTATTTGCTTTGAAAACATGTGACATGTAGGCTGCGTTTCTTTATACATTCCGGATAATCCCATTTCACAGCCGGAATAAACAGAATGCTTTTGAGATATACGTCAACATATCATCAGGAACGTTCTTAAGAATAAATAAACAAAAAAGTATATTCCAAACGTTCAGAATGAATAAAGAAATTCAGCCGTAAACAAAAAAAATATCATTTTGTCCACGTTGTGAAAACGAATTGAAATATTATCAAGGAAAAGATAATCGACTAAATGGATCAAACCAACGAAAATAATATTTTCAATGGCGCCGAAGTGGAATATCTCGACGGTAACTCGCTTCGTGGTATTTTGTAATTTATATTTAATATTTATATAATACATATTTTGTACCATGCATATGAAGAATGGAACGGTAATGATGATTTGGATATTGCATCTGGATCAAGTGAATTAAAAATAACTTGGCGGGCAAGTTCTGCAAATGAAGAAAAATTTGTTCAAGCTCTAGCGTC